GCGGCAACATTGTTGTGGGTTTTCGTCATCTGAGTGGCGGAGCCGCTGCTGATTCTCTTGTCCGTCTGTCCCGTTTTATGCCCCCGAGGGCCCCAACCGAGCAGGCGCCTTACGCATCGTCGATATGCAATGGCAATGTGTGTTAATAATTTAGGCACGAAAATAACGTTTTGCAAGAACCCACAAATATCGACGGCTTTGTAGGTGTAAACGTGCGTTTTTTGCGGTATTTGGTAGGCGAAAAGTGCGCGAAAAATGCCCCATAAACAGTGCGTATTTTGAAAACCGTTCTTGTTTACATCGATGCATTTAGGTGAAATTGTTTGCTTTGTTGCTATTGCTGCACCACGGTGGTTCCTTTTTATTGGATACTCATACACCTGAGTGGCCATCGAAAACGTAAGACCCAGTATACTATTGCATGCATTTAACGCTAATAAATGTGTGCGGAGGCGAAACTTTAGGGTTATACTTGCGGAGGATACCGAGTTTGCTCAATACATCCACTCTTATGCAGTAGTTAGGGGGTGTTACATTAGCCCGAATTGCCGATTTTACAAATTTAGGGGAAATTAAGGGAATTGAATCGCTCGCCGTTTTGCCATTTATAGTTTCATGTTATACCTATCAAGCTACTTTCCTTTATGGTTCGCGTTATTCTGCACCGGAATCTCTGGAAGTTTCTCTGGCGTTTCAAAATCAAGTATTTTCATTGAAAACATTCCAGTCATCCGGGAAAATCATTTGTGATCTTTTGCATGAATGAATTAAAATCAGGAAGTTTAGGAGGCCCGTGTAATAACCATCTGGTACCGATTTTCCTGTCGCTGTTTGCCGCTTCGCACTAGATGCTTTTTAACTTCCAACGGCAAGTTTTACGCGCTCTCCGTCTTCGCTCGCCTTAGCAAATGAATGATAATTTACGATGATCGTAAAACGTGGATTTAAAATATGCGAATAACCCGTGTTCTGGGCCCTAACGAACGATTTAGAAGATACATCGCAGTTTACACCTTTTATTACTGCGTTTGCGATGTAAAGTGAAAGGCCCTGCCAAAGCTTAATATCCTCCGGATAATTTATTTGCTTCCACTCTGCATGCCGTTTAAATAATAGATAGACGATTCCGATACAATTCTATTATTTTGTTCACTTAAACACCAAGTTATCATCGCCTTCGGCGATGTTAAAGGTTAAACTGATTAAGTGGTATTTGTAAGGTGCGATAGGAAAGCCTGTCAAGAGGGTCTTCTGGATGTTTTTCTTAAATAGAACGCAGATTAATCAAGTGTTTTTCGGAAAATATCCACACTGCGGTGCTTGAAACCAGTCAATGGCACATCGCTGATTCAAGACACATGTGCATTACTCAAAGCCACTTAAATTGCATTATATCTGGCAACAAAGTAGGTCAACAGCTGGGTCGACCAATAGAATTAATTCCTCTGGAATTAAATTGAGGATGTGATTCTTAAGAGGTCTCCTCTCATCAAGCAGGGGCGGATCCAGCTTTAAATTCAGGGGGGGGGTTATGTAGAAAAAATACAGTCTTCTGTTGTCTATGAAATTAGAAAAATTATCGTCGTTTT